TGTATGAAAGGCCTGATGAATGTGAAAGTGACGCGAGCTATATCCCAGGAGCGTGGAAAATGGCATTATGTCGTCTCTGCCTACCTCGGACGGGAAAGAACCTTGAATGTATGGATGTATGTACGTATATATTTTTTAAATCACTCTAATGCATATAACATTCTTATTCAAACATACTATATTTTATTCTTTTGCCTTCTATCGGTATGACAACATACTAAAGCTATATTAGTTTAGAATAACAAAAATATAGATATGAATACGAGAAGATAATGCAAGTTTATTTCACATAGAGAACAGCCTTTTTAACTATCAAAACATTAAGTACAAAATGTTTTAAAAAATACATTCTTTCCGCTCTGATTTACTGGGAATTGTGGCATGGATACAAATGTGATAACTAATCCAGAAGCTCTTTATTTCCCTTATGGATACATACAAACATAATGTATAGCGTCACGATCGTTACTTGCTTATTAGATTTCAGGCCGTAGGTATATCACCCAAACACAAAGTATTATAATCTTGGTGCGCTTCGTAAACACTGGCCTCACATATCGCGTGCCGCAAACATCCGTGAATAGAGAACAAATTAATTCAGTGTGTTACAGCCTCTCCCTAAGCCTCCAGCTAAAAGTATTGCGTAGTTCTAATCAAACCTCCGTGTCCAGCATACACAAGAGAGTTACTAAAACTTCATAAAAACTATGTATATTACTTTATAGACCTCAAATGTTAACCCCGGTTAAGGAAGATAACGTAGCCCATGTAGCCTTGGCTTGGTTTCAATTATTTTTACCCTCGAAGGAGTAATACTGATTCTTTTACATAGAAAAAGGTGGGGTTAGACCTTAGATCTGAGGGACTAAAGAATTAATGTATGACTAAAACGAATAATAAATATGTCTCGTATCCTGTAGACTTCTGCGAGATGCAAACCAATACTTGAAATCGGTAGCCTACAATATAATATACCATATGTAGTTTTAACCTTCCTTGCCGCAAATCTCGTGGTATCTCCACAAAGAGTAAATAAAATATTTATTTAAAAGTGGGAGACCGTTATCCATTTCTAGTCTGGGTAGCTATCGCCGCGCAGAAAAGCCATGATTTGTGTGCTGCGAGTAACTCCGTAGCGAAATGGAACGATAGGCGATGTGAGCGTCAAGAAATCAAATGCAGATTCCTTTACCGCCATTTGTTAGTAAAAGGTACTCACGCGAATACACAACTTAACTCAATACTTTTCACATACATTTATTTATCTGCTTTAGTAGAACATCGTTTTTTTTTCTTCATATACAGATAACGTTCAGTGTTTTGTTTACCTAATTCAATGGAGTGACAAAGCAACCTCGTATCTGCCAAAATACGTATCAATATTGACATAGATGTGATAAAATAACCTGTACGATATAATATACATATAGTGTCTGACTATAATAAGAAACAATCAGAAGAATTCATAACATATCATGTGTAATACGTATATGTATGTAGAGATAAGATCATGAACAGTGTTGTCTGATAATGCATAATCTACAAATATTGGTTGAAATTTTATTTATGAACTGTTACTAGTGATATAACCATTGTCTTTGCAATGCTTTAATTTAAATCTATCCTACATGGATCTAAACGTAGTTTTTTTCCGGATGAACCTTTTTTGACACTTTTGACTGAGGGATCCCGAAACAGCTGTTATTAATACATGCGAACCTCTCCTAGCGTCTGTCTGTAAGATGAAAAACATATCGAGTTTCAGCCCACTTCCAGCTATGCTAACAGCTTCTAGTCTCTTATGAATATTTAATTAAATAATTAGAATACTCCTATAAACACAAAAGGAAATACGAACATGACAAGAAGAATTAAAATCACGTCACGGGGGCGTGGGCGATTCGTTTGCGGTAGCGGCGCTTAAATGTGTTATCTGTCCGAGTCCTTGTGACAAGTTCAAAGGAAAAGAAACAAATAATTGAACAAAGTAAAATAAATTCTGCTTATAAATCTACAAACAGTACAACAAAATCTTGTGATTATTTTGAGAACCAGATCATATTGTTTATGTTTTAGTGATTAAAAAAAAAGACTATTATTTGTTCAACTCTTTTGTAAATAAATAATCCCACAAAGTTCCGCGAGCCCAGTAGGAAAAAGCCAATATGCAGATAACGTATATATTCTTTTCTCATTTCTTTATTTGCGTTGTAAGATTTTAAAGACATATAAAAGAACAGCTTAAGATCTTAGGCTACAACACTGGCATATAGCCTTAACATTTGTAGTAGCTGTAACAATTGAGTTCTGTAAGAAACGTAAGGAGATTGAAAATAAACCGAAAATAATTAAGGACAAGTAGTTAAATATTCGAGTCGAGATAGCACGCAAGTAAAAGACAGAAACAGAGTATACTTAAATAAAATACTATTACATATTTAATTATTATTAAAAGTATAATAATTATAACTTATTTTAGTTAAACAGTAGTTTCATGTTTTACACAAATATTAAGCATTTAATGTATGTAATGTATTACCTACATAGCATACTCTACTGTCGTGTCAATAATATGCTACTGGGTACTAATTGGTACCTTTACTCAAACGCGATTTTTAATATAGTAACTTAAATAAGTATATATAAATACTTTAAAAGTTATAGTACTAATACTACCTACCAATTTACAATTTACCTACCATTTTTTTCTAATTGAGAATATCTCGGCTATAAAATTAATTAGATGGCGATTGAAATAACCTTTCTCACCTCACTATGAATTTATAATCATCATTGACTAAAAATATTTAACTGAAAAAATACTTCATAATGAATTGTAATTTTTACTTTCATTACCAAACCTTTTTTTTGTGAAGTTGTGCCAGAAAAGGAAAAAGCTTTTTGCTACCTTTTGAATTAAATCAGCTGAACTGAATGAAGTGTTATTCTAACGTACCAACCCTTCCTATTGTACGTATGTAAGTCTATTTATGAAAAGGAAATAATAAAATCTGATAAAATACAGTTTAATTAAATGTTTACTAGTCCGGTCAAGTCAGCTCGAAAAATAGGGGTGCCCTTACATAAATTCCCAAAAAGCTTAATTTTTAATTTATATGATTATGTAAGTATACGTCCGTGTGGTGATAGATTAGAATATTCATCAAGTGGGTGTCGTAAGGGTCGACTAAGGGAGCATGCTACGCAGGACAAAAGCACTGCAAAGAGAAGGAAAACTTGAAACAGATCCTATACCAACCCGTCTGACTGGCGTGATATAGTAGGCCAAAACCTCCTTTCTAAGGAGAGGCCTATGTCTAGAATTGACTATTAAAGGCTGTTAATGATGATGATGATAATTTATATGAATTTGAAAATACGTAACGTCTCTATGGAAATAATTTTAATGTAAGTACCTATCAGAAATGTATAGTTCAACACTGGCGTTAAAATACAATTGTATTAAAACATTTCCTAGTAATTAATTTAGTTGAGGAACATGAGTAATGTCAATTAGAGCTGTACTCTTGGAGAAGGAAGGGACCATGGTCAATTACTGCTAACATAGTAGTGTGACTGTAAGGCGCAAACTTATATATTTAATATAAGGTTACACATCACATATTAGCAACTCTAGCAATAAAGATCATGTTTACAGAAAGTCTATGAAAATATTTTATGACTATTGACTTATGTGTTTCCTAATAGTACACAACATATTGCATGTACACTTATTTAAATTTTATGCATTATAAATGTATATAATAAAGTACTAGTTTTATATTATTAATATTGTTCTTCATGTAATAGCTAAATAAATAAAACAGTTTCTTCTTTACTGCTGTGAAATAAATAGAAAACTACAATTTCATTATTTTAAAAGTATAATAAATGAGATGTATAGCCTGTTTAATATCGCCATCTGTTCGACGAGTCATTATTTTCCTTCCTAAGAAGATTCTCGTTCATTCCGCCTGAGATTCAAAGAAAAAACCTTTGTTACACACAATTAACTGCAGCAACGAGAAATTAATTCCTTTCTCGGGCCCGAGGATTGTTAATATTTCTTTTGTGAGACTACAAAACTAGATTAAACTGGAAAAGTCAAGGTAAGATCTTTTTCGTCAAATTTTTAACAGAAAATAGTTTGTAATACCCTCTAATTATGGCATTGAATTTTTGTAATATATGATTGTTGAAACCAACCTTGTTGCAAGTTATGTAGCATCAACAGTCCCCCTTTTTTTCTATGTTTAAATCCCCTGGATAACATCCAGCGGTGGTTATGTCGTACTCGAACTGACCAAAAACCGTACTCCATTTCGGGTTTCCGGGGAACCAGGTGTGCCCTAATAAGGAATTCCCTCATACCCCGACGTACCTCGGGTCATCTACGGCGTGTAGATGACCCCCTCCTGTGTGGGAACCCCTATGTCCACTTTGTGCTTCTGAAAGGTCGCGCCTCTAAATAACCTCTCCCGGTCCCGCTCCGCCATCTCCTTTGTAAGCATAACTAGCGAGAGAATTCCCACTATTTGTTTGACACATGTCATAAAAAAAACTTCAATGAAATTAAATTTACTTAATTTAATTTATTTATTACAAATTATTATAACTAAATTCGTATTAAAACTTTCAAGTTAAATCTGATTATTCCTATTGTACTGAAAACATTTTAATACATTAAATATTTATCTTTTACCGTAAGAGAGAAAAGTGGTGTATCACCTCGACCATACAGCATAAACCATAAGACGCCGGGATCTTCAGCAGACCTTGGCTGTTTTTTGATCAGTAGACCATTCTAACCATTTTCGTATTTCGACAATTATTTTACATACAGAAATATTATAAGCCCTTAAAACAAACAAACTCCTGTAATGATGTTTATCTTTATTGGTCTTTAAAATGATTAACACAGAATCGCAGTTTCAGTCAAGCTAGACTCTAACTTCTATATAAAAGTTTATATTCAACTACATATACTAATAAATATTTTTTCACCTTAGTAAAATTGCATGTAAAGAATAATTCTTTTCAAAGAAGTCACTAACAATACCGTTTACTCTCTCGACGAATAAGGGTCGGACTTGCTTTTCATTTTCGCAAAAAAATTCACTCGTATCTTCATGTTTCAGTTCAGTCATTCTGAGCGCCTCTTCATTCTCCGCTGTTATTATCATCATGGATACTAAAGCTTCTATTAGACCGAGAACCGTATATTCACTCAGGTGTTTTTGAAAAATGCTTTGTGGGTAAATTTCATTTACATCTAAGTTACATTGTCGTAAGACTGCGGCTAATGTCCCGTAATATACGTCGAGGACATGATAATAATGTTTCTTGATAAAGTCGTGATCTGTAGACATGTATAGGAAGTAGGATATATCAGTGACTGGGGAGGCAATACGAGTCATTTGGTAGTCAATAAATATTACTTCAACTGGTCTCTCACCCTGCAAGAAACAACAAGTTACATAAATTAATTAAATTGTCGTCTGTTTGATAACAGTTCAGATAATATGTGTATCTGTGAATATGTCTATTTACATTGGTCTTTGGTCAAAAAATATTCTTGATTTTTATGACCTTCATTTTGAAACAAGTTTAGAACCATAGGTAAAGAGAATTTTGTTTATATACATGCCACAAATAGGTTATTCAAATTATGAAAATTAATCCGTTTAGAATCGATTTAATCGACAAAAGTATTCATAACAATGTTCGTGTACAGTCAGAAAAAATATTTTAAAGATCAGTGAGCATATTAGACTGTGTATTTAGGAAAAAACTGTTAATATGTCCCCGCGTAAACTCTCTGTTAGCAAACACTAACTGCAGGCTTTTAAGTTCGTCTATGAATTCATCTGCATTAAGAATGTAAACATAAAAACAATAAAAATAGTTAATAATCATTAGGAAATATTTTTATCTCAAACCTTTATAGGAAAGGAATAGTTTCATAGGTTTATATATTTATCACATCACATCAACAGTTTAATAGTCCACTGCTGGACATAGGCCTCTCCTTAAAAAGGAGGTATTTATATATCTATAAAATTATAAAAATACATATCTTAACTATTCAACATATTTATGTAGTCTGCGAAAAACATAACTCTTCTTAGGCAGTCGGGTAAAAACAAAGGTACTTAAATATGGAAGATCTCTCACCTTATATTTAAATCCCACATTGTTGTTCCAACAATCCGCATGACAGATAGCGCTATAGTTATCAGACTGTGTGCATTTATACAAGGCTGTTAGTATATTTGGTCCAAAGTCTTTCATTTTCTTTTTAATTGCAGTATCTAATATTACATTCACTGAAGCTTCGTAAAAATATTTCATTGATGAAGGTACAGGACCAGGATCGCCATACTGAACATCTTTAGAACATAATTCTTTTATCTCTCTAAACTTTTTCGGACTATTCCTTGCAAGGGCAAACGACAACGCATGTAATTTAGCTAAGTGTTTCAACACTAATGACACATGTTGCAAGTCCATTTTATGAAATCTGTCACGAAAGGAAAATTCGCTTATTTTCTGCACGGCGAGAACTTCTTTGTCATATTCTATGCTTGCAAAAACACAGTTTGGAAACTTTATTTTCAATCCTTCAATATTTTTAAAATTCCTTTGAATTTCTAACAGTTGCGGTATGATATGTCGGTAGAAGACAAATTCTCGACGATAAGCGTCTCTCAAACTTGCACGAGTTTTTGGGTCAGGATGCCATTTCATCACTATATCTAGTTTAATTTTCTGCCCATCTCTATTTCCTGTTAAACGTAATCTATAAATACCTCGGACGAAACTGTCCACATCCTCGCACCCGTATACGACCACATAATCTGTCAGATTTATGTTACATTTATCGGCTAACTTATATATGATACTAATAAACTCCGGATGACTGTGTGATATTTTTCTCACAGGCATATTGTACATTGTCCGCACAGATACTAAAATTTAATCACCGATATTTGATCACAACGGTGACAGACTTATCTAAAGTGCTTATCGTGCACTTGAATTTCAGTAGTTTCAAAACCTGGTAACCATGAATCTGACGCAATGATGATATTTCATTTTACATAAACAAGAACCAAAAGAGAATGTAACACAAGACAAATATCTTACGGTACAATATTATTTACAACGTGTACATATCCGATCTCAATAAAGGTCACATTACTTACATTAATCTCACGCTACAGATATTAGCAGTCAAGACAATACAGATCCGCTACTTTTTACATATAATTTATTGATTTTATTTATTCGAATCCTTGAAATATATTTCCGCATCGGTTAGAAAACTAGACAAACAATCAAGATTACAGCATTAAATCAGAAATCTACAAACTTGACTTCGGAGATTGATTGATTGATATGAATTATATATTTACCTATATACCTACAAAATAAATTTAGTGTCGAAGTGAAAAACTTAGGAAAAATATTTTAAAGAGAACCTAGTAAAAATAGTTAAGGTCTATGAAAAGTGAAAGAAAACATTTTAAGTTGCCTTCCTTAATTAATATTGAAGAAATAAGTCTGAATCTGGTTCTAAATTATCCTCAGTTTAAGTGGTTAACTAAACACAATCTCATATGTAAATGGTTTTTAACCATCACTAACTACAAATAGACCTAACATTGATAATCAAGCCAGACTCTAGCCACCATTTTATCAGTGCTACGATGTGACGGGAACAAATGACAGACGTTTCGAGCATTATCAGCGCGCAACGAGTCCAACGAATGGCCACGAGATAAACTAGTCGCACACAATACCTTTTGTAATGTCACTCAATGGCCGTTCTGCCTGCACCAGCCGTAATGTAGGTGTGTGAGTGCAACAACCGGTTTTATGCATTGAATGTCTCATTGTTCGCTATTGTCCACTGACCACCACGTACCGGATCTTGAGCACACAAACGTTCATGAAACGAAGTTCATTCTATTCATTTCACGAAAATTATTCTAGTAGTTATTATTATACTAATATGTCTTATGTATATGTTTAAACGTCACTATCCATAAATGTTAAACTAATACTAAATTCTCTAAAATTGAGCAAAATTAAAACGTAAACCAGACTTGCAGAAGTTACCGGCCTCGGTTTTCTATGTGGTCCTTTTCCGTGCCATTTTGTGGAAATTTACTTCTAAATAAATATCTTTACAAAGATAAAACAAGACTATAGTTCATTTAGCATAAAATGAAATGGTTAATATTGTGTAAAATAGATTTCAAAAGACCTCAAGACCTTAAATGAAGGTGTTGTACCGATGCATTAATGACGGCGGGCCTCATAATTGCCATAGAACGTAATAAAGGCTGTTGTCACCTTTGTGATGAACCCAAGCAATAAAGGGACATTGCCCTTTGTCCTCAGCCACAGTCAGAGAGCACAGTAGAGGTTAGTACATATGTGTAGAAATCTAATTGAATGCCCAACTTGTTCGTACTACGGTACGCTTTGACTTCAGGTATACCCCTGTTTTGTTTATTTGGTTAATTTTCATGCGCCAACGGGTTGTTTGCCTCAGGCTCTTTGAATTATTTAACGACGAAGTCAAGCTAATAACTATATTTGGGTACTAAATGCCCTGCTTGTAATATTCGATGGTAATTAATTTTACTAACAAAAGAACCTATTTACTCTAGTTTTGAAAACAACCCAATACGCCGCAAGTGGTGACATTATGGGTTTGTCAAGTGTTGAGAAGGGGGGTGTTGGGGCTCATGACCCTTCCCTTCCTTCCCTTGATTATGAAGCTTGGTCTCGTAGATATATCTGAACAGGATAATTGTTAGTCTATAAGTTGATTTAACTTATAAAATATTACCGAAATTTCAGCCTGTTGTCAGATCTCTTAGTCTGAAAATATAACGCGCTCATGAATTGAAAGACAAAGTAATTTTTTCATTGGATAACTAGACTGTAAATCTCTGTAAACAGACACAAACTATAACTAAATATTAAAATCTCTATCCTTATTTCGTGCCCTTTCTGTAGATTAAGGGACAGCAATTGGCACGGAACTTAAAATTAATTCTTAGTTTTTGTTTTCACTATTTTCTGTTAATGTATATTTTTAATCGAATTTGTTGACAAAATAAAAAATAGAAATAGTTGAAAAAGTATTGTTAGGTATACGAGTATAATCTCTGTATTATTAGAAGCACGTATTACGAAGTTATTATGTATAGTTTTACAGGCATTAAAAGATTTTCAGTTAGATTAGATAAGTTTAAAAGTAATTTATTTTATATCTTGTAAGGGTTCTCATGATTATTAAACTTTACTTTTTTGTTCGTTTTAGTAATGTAAAACGTAGCTACATTAATTAATCTCACTTTAACTTTTGTGATTTTTCATCTAATTGTAAATTATATTACTAAAGTTTAAAGCCCGTATTTTAAAAGGTGTCTCAGTCGTGAATCTAGTCTCAAAACTAATTTTAAGTAGAGATTTTATTATTGAACGTCACTTAAAACGAGATTCACCGATCCATACTCAAGTGAGTGATAGCTTATTTTAGAACGATGTTTATGTCGAAATCATTACTCAGGTATAGATTTTGACAGCTGTGATCTTTGTTTACGTGAGACAAGCTGAAACTAGTCTCAAGCGGTGATTTCTAAGGCATTTAGGGGAAATGAATGTGTTTTACGATGATTTGTTTTTGAATAATTACGAAAGAGTTACTTTCCTTTATTTACGAAAGAATTACTTGTCATACTGTAATCAATTTCACTTTAATGAACCTTAATTGATATGAAATTCACCAAAATTCACATTTTACACACACAATACCAGTTTAAATTACCACAATCTTTTGGTTTATTTTAAAAGTATAGTAATATAAATTTCAGAAATATCAAATAAAAACATCGTTTGACATTTTAACATGATAAGTGTTGATAAATAACTTGAACGTTCCGTTATAGCCTATTCATACAGCTAGTCATTTTTATTTTAATATTTATTATATTTAATTTTGAACGAACAACAAGCTTATTAATATGTTAACATTGCTACACAAGCTAATAGTATATTATATACAAATTCACAGAAATTATGTTTGTAAAAGAAAAATATTTTTTCAATAATTAGCTGCGTAATGCGGAATAATAATGTCAGTCATGCGAAAAAGTAATTGAGAACAGACTGTAAGTTGAAATCAATACTTGAAACTAGTTTCAACTGAGTTAAACTTAAAACGCGTTCTATAATAAGATCGATACTTAAGATTTGATCTGCACTTAAAACTAGTTTCAGGCAATCAGAGTTCAACCGACACTTGGGATGTCTTTTAAAATACGGGCCTAAGTCTAAGACCTCGAAGAGAAATAAAAGTTTTAGCTATGGAATATATAGTTGTATAGTATAATAATATATCTGTATTACCATAGATCCTGTTTATTTTTGTCATATCCAACTATTTACATAAAACATAAAACCTTTGTCAATTATTCAATTGTAACATTCGTATTTAGCGAAACCAAAATAAAAGGATATTCGTTCAAGGTCTTTTCAACATTAAGGGTCTTTCGACCACTTAGGTGATCATCCGTGGTGCTATTATAATGTAATTAGTAGTTAATAAAATTTTAAGTTGTATTAAGCGAAATCAAATAATTTAAAAAATAAAACCTATCTCAACCCGTCTGGCCAGCGTCGTATAGTAGATCAAAACCTCCTTTCTAAGGAGAGGCCTATGTCCAGCAGTTGACCATTAAAGGCTGTTGAGGATGACGATGCTACCGGCAATACAAGTCCATCACCACTGTTCGTGTGACCCTCTTCTCTGAGGGTCACACGAACAGTGGTGATGGACTGAACTGCACTCGGTGAAAAGCAACGAATGAATTGCTGATGGTTTCACACTTTATATGTGTTATTAGTATATATACTGTAAACGTATGTAGTAAGTTTATGTTTATGTATTATTAATTACTTATTGTATTATAAAAGTACACCACAGACTACAATTTTCGTTCAATAAACCCATAAATTTTCTCATATTTAAAGACAGTTTTTTTGTTTGTTAAATATACCTGCAGAAAATGTGGACGTATTTCAAAAACATTTTTCTTTTCAATTCAGTCTACACCTACACTACACCTACACTAATAATATCAAGTCACATAAAAGTCATTATAAAGTAATTGGATATTTTTTATTCACAAAAGAACTGTGCGGTAAAATCCTCGTTGTACAATATCCACTTTATAAAACACTAAAGTTCAATTGATTTGAAAAAAATACATCATTAAAACCAGTAATTTAAGAAGAAATTTCCCACCAGCAGGTAATAAAAATAGTTTAAATACATCCTGAAACATAATCAAGGGAGGGGGAAACATGTCTAGACGTGCAGGAAATCAATTTTCCGTGGCAGTCGAATGTTTACGCCGCCGGTTGCAAGCACCAATTGACTTACTTTTTTACACCCTTTTTCATCACGAAAATTATGATGCTGTAATATCATATTTTTTGCTAGACTGTATATTTGTGTGGTTGTTGACTTTAAACACTGTTTAAAAAAGTAATACGTTAATATATATCTTAACTAGCTTTTTAGGCTCGCATCAAACTTTGTTTCTGCGAAGTGAGAACAGGACTTTATTTTTAAATGATGAGAACCGTAAATATTTTCTCATACTCCTGTCTAAGCATATATGTAACCGTAAGAGATCCATGTTTCGGCAAAAATTGGGCGGCTCGACCAGAATGATACCACGGCCTCACAGAAAACTGATGTTAAGCAATTGACAGGCCTGTTGGTCCAGTGGTTAGTGACCCTGACTGCTATGAAAGAGGTAGTGGGTTCGATTCCCACCCAGGCCGAATAATTGTGTGATGAGCACGGTCATTTGCTCTGTGTCTTGGTGTACTTTATCTATAATATGTAATTTAATTTGAAA